TAGGACACTTGCGAGGCTTACAAGCAGGCAGGCTGGGGGTGCTATGCCCTGGGAACTTAATGGGCTGTAGTCTTATAATCAAAGGAAAAGTGGGAAGGGGGAAAAAGAACTTCTTTGTCTTTCTCTTTTAAAAATTTTTATTTATTTATTTGGCTCTTCTGGGTCTTAGTTTTGGCATGTAGGATCTAGTTCCCTGACCAGAGATTGAACTTGGGCCCCCTGCACTGGAAGCCTGCAGTCTTAGACACTGGGCCATCAGCGAAGTCCTTTCTTTGTCTTTCTTGAGGAGACATCATGTTTCCATTGTCAGCTCCTCCTCCAGGTTGAGTAGGGGGAGTTATTTTGTCCCTACATGGTCAAGCTAGGTCCGCAAATTATTGTTTTTAATGTGTGTAGAGGGCATGTCCTAGGGATCATTAACTTACTGAGTTCACTGGGCAGTATGTGGGTCTCACATCACCATTTTTTTGTTTTTGTTGTTTTGGGGCATGTTTTGGCCTTCTTTTGCATGGTTTTGTTGCTAAGGAAGTAGCAAACCAATCTGGCTGTGATGCTAAGTGTCTTTTTGAGCAGAACATAACAAACAAGCCAACAATGTTTGAGAATTTCCCCAATACTTTCTTGAGTGATCATTAACCTTATTGTGGTTTCCCAAAGCCTTCAATGGCTTCCCTGATGACTCAGTAGGTGAAGTTTCTACCTGCAATGCAGGAGACACAGGTTCAACCCCTGGGTTGGGAAGATTCCTTGGAGTAGGAAAGGGTAACCCACTCCAGTATGCTTGCCTGAAAAAAATCCCATGGACAGAGGAGCATGGTGGACTATAGTATAAAGGATTGCAGAGTTGGACATGACTGAGCAACTAAGCAACAAAGCCCCCTAAAATTCCTTCTCTGTTTAGAATTCCTTAATGGAGTTGGCTTAAAGCTCAACATTCAGAAAACTAAGATCATGGTATCTGGTCCCATCACTTCATGGCAAATAGATGGGGAAACAGTGGAAACAGTTGCTGACTTTATTTTTCTGGGCTCTGAAATCACTACAGATGGTAACTGCAGCCATGAAATTAAAAGACGCTTACTCCTTGGAAGGAAAGTTATGACCAACCTAGACAGCACATTAAAAAGCAGAGACATAACTTTGTCAACAAAGGTCCGTTCAGTCAAGGCTATGGTTTTTCCAGTAGTCATGTATGGATGTGAGAGTTGGATTATAAAGAAAGCCGAGTGCTGAAGAATTGATGCTTTTGAACTGTGGTGTTGGAGAAGACTCTAGAGAGTCCCTTGGACTGGAAGGAGATCAAACCAGTCTATCCTAAAGGAAATCAATCCTGAGTGTTCATTGGAAGGATTGATGTTGAAGCTGAAACTCCAATACTTTGGCCACCTGATGGGAAGAACTGACTCATTTGAAAAGACCCTGATGCTGGGAAAGATTGAAGGCAGGAGGAGAAGAGGACGACAGAGGATGAGATGGTTGGGTGGCATCACTGACTCAATGGACATGAGTTTGGGTAAACTCTGGGAGTTGGTGATGGACAGGGAAGCCTGGCATGCTGTGGCTCATGGGGTTGCAAAGAGTTGGACATGATTGAGTGACTGAACTGAACTGAATGGAGTTTTTAAGCTAAGTGTTTGATTATCCTACTCTGTCCCTATCAGAATCATATTTAAACAGTTCCCTCCAATTCCTGTAGTTAATAATGTTTAGAGGTATGTCTTTTACTCATTATTTTTGCTTAGGCTACTCTTTCATTTTCCTCTCTTTATTGTTTCTTATAATAATAGCTGTCATTTATTGAGTGTCCACTCCAGCTTGGACACTGTGCTGGATATTTTTATATATCAATGATTACTTTTTCCATGTAATAGAGGAAGAAACTGAGGCTTGCAGTCCAGAAGCTAAGATTAAAACTCATCCAATGTGAATTGAAAGACCATGCTTTCTCCACCATCTCTGGAATGAAGAGAATTCTTACTCTATACGATGTATATAAACAGTCAAAGTGTTTGTATTACAATCTACCAATGTGATGCTAGTTGAACTCCACATAAATTCCTTCCAGAAACAGGTGGCTGTGTAGTTCTAATTCCCAGTGTCCAGCAGTCATCTATCTTTGCTGGCTGGATGAAGTGTGGGTTATTCTTTTACCATTTCTGCTTAAAAAAATTTAACACTAGGAAGCAATGCAGGACCTGTACAATACCTGAACTTTTTATTTATTTCTAACAAAAGTACTTTACTACTGGGGTTTATATTACTGCAGAGGCGGGTGACAACATAGGGCTTCCTTCTCTGTTTTTGAGCTGTTGTTTATTGCAGCTGGAATTGAGATCTGGTCTGTCTATGGAAAGATAAACTGAAGGCAGAGTTAAGGTGCACAACTCTGGCTGCTTCAAAATACAGTGTCCACTCAATTTGGGGTGACTGCTCAGTTTTTCTTAGCTTGTAAGTCTCTTGCATTCTTGAGTGAGTGACTGATAGTGTATCTTCCCTACATTTTTTTAGGATGAGCAGCTTACTGTTTCTAGTTAGCAAAATATTCATATGTCATAAATTGTGTTTCTCAGTGTTTGATCAGTGATATTGATAAGGCATAATTATGGAAGAGTTCTTCTGGGTTTCTGGCAATAGGTTGACTATCGGTCAATCTTTGTTGGCTTCCTTTTTTTTTTTTTTTTTTGGTATTTCTAATAGATAGAAAGGGGAACAGATTAAATCAGGGAATGAAACCCAAGTGCCATTTTAAATTAGTACCTCCAGTAGTTATTTTTGCAAACAATACTTTATTTTTTAAACGTAATCCTTTGACTAATATAATTTTTTGGGAAGCTTGCACTTATTTCATACATTAAGGCAGAAGGGTCTCTGGGACTGTGAGAGATTCTGAATTGATGTTTTCTCTTTTGCCAGTCCTTTGTATTAAATTTGGGAAAAATGATAATGGCTTTTGTTTTTCCTATTATCACTGGCAAATGCATATTCCACTGAGATGCTCTGCCTTCTTGTACATTCTCTCTCATCCAGAACTTTGCCTTCTGAATTTCACTGTTATTTTTAGGGCTGAGTATTTCAAGGAAACCACTAAAAATACCTGTGATCTCAGTTGTTTCCTTATATAATTTCACACTCATTTAACCTAGTTTTCAAACTGTATATTTCTCAAAAGCCTTTCTACACTGATGCTTTGAAAGGAATTGAGAAAATACATATAGGATTTAGGAGAGAGATATTTCCTGATTGGTACAAATGCAGTAGATTTGATGAGAATATATATATGTATATATTTTCAACATAAACAGACAGTGAAGATGGGCAATTAAGTATTTATAATTTTAACTTTATATTCAACATGTAAAGAGTTCTAATAATAATGTCGTCTACCTCACTGCAGCAAATTCTGTAAATTACTCGGCTCAGTTATGTAATGTTCAGATTCCTGTGGCCTGTAAGTGCTAATACAGCTAGATTTCAAAGTATGGCTCAGGATCCCTGAGTTTTTGAGACACTTTCAGGCAGTTAATGAGATCAAAATGATTTTATCATAATATTCAAACATTATTTTACTTTTTCATTTCCATTCTTTCAAAAGTGTACAGCAGAGTTTTCCAAAGGTTACTTGCTGTATGATATTGCAGTGGATGAATGCAGAAGATCAAGTTGCCTTTGGTTAAGTCAGATACTAAAGAGAATTAAAAAAAATAACATAATGCCACTTGTGATGGACCAAAAAATAATCTCTGAAAAATGTCCACATCCTAACTTTTGGGACCTGTGAATATGTTACTTTATGATGCAAAAAGGACTTTGTGGATGTGATTAAATTGAGGATTTTGAGATGGAGAGATTATTTTGGATTACCTGCAGTGGGTCCAGTGTAGTCACAAGGGTTCTTAAATATGGAAGTGGGAGGTAGAATTGTTAAGTATCAGAGTACTGAGATATGAGAAAGTCTCAATAGGACATTGATGGCTTTGCAGATGGAAATGAACCACAAGCCAAGGAGTGTGGGAGATTCATAGAAACGCAAAAGAAAGCAAAACAGATGCTGCCCTGAAGCCTGTAGAAAGGAACGCTTCCCTACCATCACTTTGATTTCAGCATAGTAAGACGTACTCTGGATTTCCCTTTTGTTTTTTATTTTTTAGTCTTGAAAAGTTCTTTATATTTTGGATTTTTGTCACATATGCAGCATAAGGAAATCATGTGGCTTAAATTTTTTCCAAACAACAAAATTCCTTTTTAAATAACCAGTGGCCTATACTGCTTATGACACAGTAAGAACTATGCCACGTATGTGCAGAGGAAGCACCTGGAGATCTTATGAGGAGGCAGATTCTGATTCTGTACATCAGGAGGGAGGCCTGAGATCCTATATTTCTGACAAGCTCCCAGATGATACAAGTGCTGCTGGTCCTTAGATCTCAGGTTGAATAGCAAGGCTCTGTGTAGATGAATTGATCTAATGCTCTCTATAATCTCAGGGGATCTATGCAATTATCGCTCCTATTTTAAAGATGAAGAAATGGAAATACAGAGAGTAATTTGCCCAAGGTTACACGGCTAGGAAGTGGCAGAGCCAAGGATTGGCTCTAAGGATTCCTCTGTATAATCTCACTTTGCAAGTTTAAATGCAACCAAGCCGTGTAAGTATCATTTCATTTCACCATTAAACCTAAAACACACAAAGCTAAACTACAGTATTCTATTTAAAACAAATACTAGTCCTAATTGGAATTTTTATTAAACATTTGAGAATTTATATGATTTTATTCCACTCATATAATACCCCACCCCCAATATGCAGTTTAAAAAGGCTGCTTGAAGCCTGTGGTCAGACAATTGTACTACCTTTCCCAAATAACTTAAGAATGGGCCGTGCACCCAGGATGTGTGTGTCCAGGTGGCAGTGTGTGTGTGTTTGTGTATGTGGTGGTTTAAGGGGTATTAGTGTGAAGAATCAGGGTCTAAGGTACAATTAGAAGTCTAGTAGTCAGAAGCTAGTTATCCAAATCCTCGCTACTTGAGTATTCTACTTTTGAGTCTGGTCTGTAGACTAGCAGCGTTGCTAGCCGCTGGGAGCTGGCCTGAAATGCAGACCCCGCCCTCCCACTGGCATCTGCTGAATCAGAATGTGCATTTTAACCGAAATCGCAGATGATGATATGCCCTTTAAAGTTTGAGACCACTGATCTACACCACAACTTGCTTTAGATTCATCCCAATACCAGAGTCTCTGGAAGGGCGCGGCCTTAAAGACAATGAGGGCCAACAATGCCTTTTCCAGGTGGACATTTGATTTTTCTCCCAGGTGCAAAGTCACTGGGCAAGGCAGGGCCGCCGGCCCTCCCGAGCTCACTTCCGGGTGCCTCCGGGGCGGGACCGACGGCAGTCACAGCCCTCCCACCCTCAGGTGCGGTTCGTTTACTCCACTGGACTGGGAGCCAGGCGGGTGGCTGCACGTGGACACACGTGGACGCTGCCCGCCCAGCCTCCAGTTCCAAAGGCACAAGACGCAGGAAGAGAAGACGGCCGGGCTTTGCGCCCCGGTCCTGGGCACCGCGGACTTGCATCGTAGACCCGGGGCCGTCACCTTCCTCACCAAGTCGGTCAGGTAGACCGTGGTCCAGCCGCACCACCATACGAGCACCACCACAGCGGAAAACGGAGAAAAGGAGAGCCCCAACCAAAGCACCTGCGGTACCTGCAATCCCAGCATCCGCTCTTCAGGATTCCTGAACTCCAGAACTGGAAGGTAATGAATTTGTATTCCTTTAAACTACTGAGTTTGAAGTAGACTGTTATAGCAGCAATAGGAGACTACTACAGCTTTCAGTGAAAGCCTCTTTTAAAGGCTGTACATCCTTCAGTCGACTTCCATTGCTTTCAGAAGAACATCAAGGGCTCTAGTTTGACTAAAAAGCTTTTTGTCATTTGTTTTTAACCATTAATTAAGGATCACATCTATTTTGACTCCCTAATTTCCATCCTGTGTGTCATGCCTACAGAAGTATTGCTGTTTTCCCAAATGGCCAGCTTTTCCATGCCCTTGTTCTATTGCACATGCTATGTCCCCTGGCAACATGATCCACTTTCACTTGTCCATTCAACTCCTACCTGTCCCTGTGAACTCACTTTTAAGGTCATCTCCTATGCAAAGCCTTGCCCCAGTGGTCCAGTCTAGGCTCCCTCTTTCCTAAATAACACTTGCCACATTATGTCTAATTTATATATATCGCTTATCTTCCTGAATTATGAGCTTGGGGAGATAATGATGTCATATTTGTGTACCTCCAGCATCTAGTGCATTGCTTGATTCACAGTAGTCCTCGATAAATGTTTTTTTTTTCTGATTTCTTGATTGATTGTTGGCCAACATCTCAATAGTTAATTTCCATGAATCAGCTTTCAAATATGAGTCTATCATATACACAACTGCATGGTGCCCTATCCTGTTGTTTCTCTTAGCTACCATCCTGTTTCTCTTTTTTCTGCCAAATAACTTAGGTAGTAAGTGATCTTCAAATGTAGTTTTAATTTTCTTCCTCTCATGACCTCTTAACTCCTTACATATTCCTTCTATAGTATTGGCTTTTCTTTTTCAAAGGTCCCTATTGATCTCTTTCTGTCTCTCTTGTTTGACCCCTCGGATAACTTTGACAGATCTCTCCCTCCTTCATTTTCCATGTAGTTACTGATCATTTCCTACTTCTGTGTGTGTGACTTTTTTGCTAGTTCTTCTTCCTACACCTTAATTCTGGGAATTCCTCCAATATTAAATGCTTAATCCCCTGTTCTTCTGTTTATGCATTTAATATCTTGAAGTCCTCGTCCACATTCATGGTTTCTCCATCAACTACAAAGATAGGTATGTCTGTAGCCAAGACCTGCTATAGCTTTGTCCATTCAGTAGCTACAGCTGAGTCTCTGCCTGTGTCTAGAAGACAACTGATGTTGATTGAGTTTTCATCAGTAACCCTCCCTCTTTATTTGTCTTCTGTCAGTGACTTCTCTTTTATGCTCATTTCTCATTTCATAATTTCTGTTTTTATATTCTTATCTGTTTTCAAATTATTTTTTCTTCAGGTTATCTCTCAGATTTGTCCTTTTTGTTATATTTTTTTTCCTCTATGACCACCATGCTGATCTAAGCCCTCAATACCTTCAGGACCACTTTATATTTCACTACTTTAATCTCTAATATTTCTTTGCTTTAATCAACCATGCATCCCATACTCTTTTCCCTAATTTACAGTGAATCCTGCCACCACTTTTGCATCTAACACTCAACTCATCCAGTACTTTTATGTTATCCTGCCACACAAGAAACCATGGTCAACCTGTATTGGTTATACTACCATGCCTGTGTGGTCTTCTTAGGCCCAACTAAACATTCAGACTCACTTTGACTATCAAAGGCTACATTAATACGAGCCTACTCAAAGGGAGCAAGGCACAGGTTGCACAGGGTGGTGGGAGGTCTTCTTCAGAGGTAGTTGTAGCAGTCTACTAGCTCAGGGGCAAGGGAACTGTCTGGTTTAGAAGTATTGTGCACCACAGGTGCCAATTGCTCTAGGAGTAACCCCACAGTCATGGCTTCCAGGGTCCTTGCAAGGACATGTCAGTTAAAAGAGTGACTGCATTCAGGGAAATCCAAAGTATGGCATCTGTACCAGTTCTTTGGAGTTCATTTATATTCTCTCCTGGTTCAGGCTCATTTTTACTATAAGCAGTGTTATGTAGTAATATAGCGAACATTTTACCTTTGTTAGGTTTTCAGAGGAATAGTGATGGCATATTAATTGAGGGTTAGTGTCTTGTGCAGAAAAGAAAGGATTTTGTTAACTTTTTTCCAAAGTTACCAATCAAGTTGGAACTCTTTTGACTCATTACTAATGTCAGGTCATTCATAATCTTACTTGACACCCCTTGCCCCATTTATTCAAACCTCTGTTCTGGTACTCCCCAGCTAGCCTTTTCTGATGCCCTTGTCTAATATAGTAAGAATCTCATATATGTTCTTCCTTCATTATAGCCCCCAATTCAGTGCCTGTTCTAATTCTGTTTCTATAATTCTAATTCTGTAATAGGTAAGTAGTCTATTTAAGATATAGCTACAGAATAATAGAATCTCAGAATTATGAGTAGCATTCCAAATTGATGGCTGGACTTCAGTACTTTGAAGTGATAGAAGATAAATGTAGAAGAACACAAAACACTTTTTGAACCACTGATGGACTGAGAGAGCACTGTTGCAAAACTTTTTTTTAGGTTGAAAAAACTCATAGCTGAAAGTTTAAACAAAACAGAACAAAACACTTCAACCCAAATACATAGCTGTTTATATGCTAAAAGAAAAAGCACAGTGGGATAAAGTGAGAATCATAAAATTGCTCGGGTTTAAGAAGTGTAGCAGAGCCTCACTTCCCCATGTGAAGGCAGGGAGCAGTGAGGCCAAGCGGAGAATGTGGAACCTGAGGCCTTAGGAGACAGAAGGCAATGGATGTGGTCCAGGCTGACTGGTTGTATGACTTCTGGCAAGTTAATTACCTTTTTCTGTGTTTTATCACATGTTCATGAATGCATATAGTGATATTTTCTCATTATTTACCTGAAGTAGTATGGTCAAGATTAATGAGGTGATATTGTGGAATGTCTCAGCTTAACATGGGAGAGAAATTCAGCAGAATTATAGGATATTTAAATTTTTCCCATTGGAGATTAAAGAGTAGAGTAAGGAGACAGAGATTTACAAGAAAGCTGCTTTTAATTGTGTCTACATGGGCCAATTAGAACAGAAATCAACACTTTTGCTATGGATTTGATCAATATAGACAAATTAAATTACCTCAGACTGTTGGGTATTATTTCATTTTTCAGTAAAGTGTTTTGGTCTAAATTATTCTTATATGTGCTTTCATTCCCCCTAGTTTTACTTTTTTTTTTTTTGGTGGAAGAATCAAGAGAAAATCTTTGATCCCTTTTTAAGTATCCCTTTTTGAATATCTTAAAACTATATTTGGACAAACAATATGGGAAAAAGTACTTTTTATAAGAAAGAACAAAATAGAAAATTTTGTGAGCTACACATCTGATGCTTGTGTTGCCAAGGTAAAAGCCAAAGTAGATGGATGAATTGAAAGATGTGTACATCTTAAACCAGTGCCCAACCCAAATTATATTCCAAGTTAAAGATGCATACTAGAAGTGAACTTAATATATTGCAGTAGGTGGTTTTGAAAGGAAGTAACTAACATACAGTAGAAACAGATAACCTTCCTTTCTTAAATAATAAGTTTTATCTATTAGTAAAAACACAGAGAAGATGCACACTTTGTATGGTATTCTATAGTTGTGAGCTATAGTCACCGGAAAGTAATTAGTCCAATTTCTTCTTCTAAAACACTTGAGCCCCTGTTCTCCTCTCTCTTGTTCACACCAGCTTCAGTAAGTATAAGTAATACAGTAGACAGAATTGCTTCCCAGATTGCCTTTATACAGTCTGTGGAGTTTATTACCACAGGAGGTCATCAAGTCAGTTATAACAGCTGGATTCAAAATGAGGTTGGGAGAATTTTTATAACCAATAACATTTATATAGTAAAGCAGGTGATTTAAGAGCTTTATGCTTTAGGTCATAAGATCATACTCCAGTTCATAAAATATTAAACCATGGAATTGGAAAGGAAATTTTCCTTGCAAAATATCTTTGAAGACTTTTGATAGAGACCACTTCTGGTGTCTTATGATAGACAAAAAATGATCTTGCAACAAGGGAGTAGGAATGTTGTCAGATGGCAAGTCCAACACTTATATGACACTATAACCAAATATAACAAGCAAAACATCAAGTGAAAATTGAAGTTCTGATTGGCTGTGTCTATACAGAAACAAAATGACTGGTTAAAAAGGGTGAAAATTCAGTTGAACAAATTATTGATAATATGGAGACATGAAAAGTTCTTTCTGTTTGCTGATCTCAGCTTAAAAATATGAATTCAAGTGAGCTTGCTTGTATGTATAAATATAGCCTGCATGCATACGTACTCAGTTGTGTCTGACTCTTTCCGACCCCATGGACTGTAGCCTGCCAGATGCCTCTGTCCATGGAATTCACTAGGCAAGATTACTGGAGTGGGGAGCCATTCCCTTCTTCAGGGGATCTTCCCAACACAGGGATCAAATCCAGGTCTCATTGCAGGCATATTCTTTACTGTCTAAGCCACCAGGGAAACCAAAAAAAGTGACAAAATGATTAAATTTTTAATGTATTCCCACTTTTATTGATTTACCTGAGGTGTTCAGATACAACTTTCTAGTTAGAATTATTTCATGGTTCCTCTGCTAGCTAAACCTATAATGCAATTATTCCTTCCTCAGAGTAAGTAGCTTGACTAGGAATTTGATGATTTTAAACCTAATGCAATGCCACTCAGTTTTCAGAACTCCTGACTTTTAGAAAAGGATGGGATATTGTCCGAGTTTAGACATTGTGGGAGCCTAAAGTGTTGTTCTTGAAATAGGAAAGCTTTTATGTTGACATTGACAGAGAAAAGTCTTGCTTTTTTATTGCACTTTGGATACACAGAACTGTTGTGGATCAAAATTTGTAATGTCTGATACTATATGATGCAACTAAGTT